AATCTCTCCCACAATTTTTGTTGTCCTTAATAAACTGTTTTATTTCCTATTAAGTAGATGAATATTATAAACCATGTTAGTCATTCTCATCATTCTCTATGAAAAATAAGTGGTCTATGATATTTTAGGCTGTTGTCAAATATTGGTAGGATTTTCACTGTCTTGTTGGTAGAATTGATACTTCCCTTTTTAATTAGCGTTTATATGATTTCGTATCGTTAAACTTGCATTTGTTTCTCAGTGCTATACTTGATTGTTGCATTCTACATGGATTGTTTCCCATCTTAACTTGAAAATTTCTCTACTTAGGTCATTGGTGTGCATTGAGGGGCATTACTTGGTGTTGCCTATCGAACACTTCGTAAAATTAGTCCTGGTGCTGCAACAACTATATCAACAATTCAGTCTATGTCGTTGCCTGGATTTGGAAGTAGTGGTTCTTTTGCTACTTTTGATGACATATATCTTCTCAGAGATCTCCTGCTGAGGCAGTGCCTCAAAACTCAGTTTTTCAGGTGAAAATAATCATTGACATGCATGTCTTGAACATGCTTTTATTGTTGGCTATAAATATACTGCTTTTATTTGGGCTGTCAGACACCATGCTATTGCCCAAATTTTGTAAGCATACAATTGGCCAAATATCATACCAGTGCACAAGGCTCGTACTCTGAGTTGGGTCTAAGGAAGGTCCTAGTTATGCGACCTTCCCCATATTTACTTTGAGAGGATGTTTTCAGGGTTTGGACAATGACCAAGCGATTATGAGTAGACACTTAACCATCAACTATGCACAATTTGTATGACGTACACTTTAATCTAGCTTTTTGAGACTACTTTTGAATTCTTCTAACATCATAAAGTCTGCGAGAATCAACTATTTTATAATGTTTGTAAAGAATGTATGTTTTTTTATCATCTATCTTTGTGTAAGAACATATGTGAGATACAGATGAAAGTGTTATTTATCTATGGCTGGGTTGCATTTTGACGTTTTTGGTGATTTTCCTAATAATTTCCGACCCTTGATCTAGAAACCATGAGATCTTCCTTAAATCGAACACCTGAACCAGCCTTTGTGTGTGTATTGCTTAGGTTTAGAAATTGTATGAGTCTTTCCAATTCGGTGAAGTTTTTGTTTGCTTTGTCCTGATATAAGTGCTTTGTGAACTTTCTGTTGTCTAATATCTATTGCATTTTATATGTATTTTTCTTTTACCATAGAATGACAGATATTATGTTGTTTCTTTTGCATTATTGTAATAATTTATTATAAAAATGTGCAGTTGGGAAACTTTCCAACCAGTAGGCACTCTTCTGCCTCAGCAGAGTAGACTGCATGGGACCAAACTATTGAGTATTGTGCTTTTGGTTATCAGCATTATATTTTCAGCTCTTCATTGTGCCCTCAGTATAGATACCTTGGAGATGTTGCAATAGCCTATTCCACTGGAGCTGTTTGGCAGTAGAGATAATTTTTTGTGGCAACACCAACTATAATTGAGTATGATTTAGTTACTTGTTCAGATATTTTGTTTACAGTAGGTGGTATTATTTTTTTCACCACTCTCTTGATTGTGACATATCTTCTAAATTTTTTGAAAATATTAGTAACTCTATTTAGAGCCCTCTTTGGAATAAATATGATTAATAGGACAATTTAGTTCATTAAAAGTTGATTATTCTAATTGGTATATGCATTACTTTGGCAAAATGAATTATACATGAGCAGACTTAGAAAGAATGTTGTTATTTTTTACTAAATAGTTTACAACCTTTACAGAGTAATCTAAGTGTAATAAGGAAACAATCCCTAAAAATCAGTAACTCCCTAAGCATTAGAGACTAAGATTAGATCATATTGTACAAGGGAACTCCTAGGAATAAGGTAAGTAATTTATCCGTAATTTTAGGAATTCCAACACTCTCACTCAAGCTGGAGTGTAGATATTTATCAAACCCAACTTGCCAATAATTTATTCAAACATGTTTCTGCTCAAGCTTTTGGTCAACAAGTCTGCAACTTGTTGTATTGTAGGTAGGTAGGTAACACAAACCTCTCCTGAGTTAATTTTTTCTTTGATGAAGCGGCGATCAATTTCTACATGTCTGGTGTGATCGTGGTGAACATGATTATGTGCTATGCTAACAGCTTCCTGGTTGTCACAGTGCATTTTTATAGGTCTAGTATAGGACAATTTTAGCTCTCCTAGTGGTCGTTGTATCCATATTCATTCGTATATACCATGGGATAGTGCTCGATACTTTGCCTTTGCACTACTACGTGCTATAACAGACTATTTTTTACATCTCTATATTACAAGATTACCCCAAACATAGCTACATTAACCACTTGTAGAACGTCCGTCGTTACAGCACCTGCCCAGTCTGCATCGGTGTATACTTCTACACTTTGGTTGACAGTTTTCTTGAAGTGTAGGCCTTTACCCAGAGTCTCTTTGAGATACCTTAATATCATGTACGCAACTTCCAGATGTTTTTCCCTTGGAGCATGCATGTACTGGCCGATAACACTCACACCAACAGTAATGTCTAGACGAGTGTGAGATAGGTAGATAAGTCTCCCTACTAGTCATTGATATCTCCCCCTGTCGATTTCTTCTCCATCTTGATCAGTTCCCAATTTAAGATTGAATTCCATAGGAGTTTCAATTGGTTTGCGGCCCAACAAACCAACTTCAGAAAGCAGATCGAGAACATACTTTCTTTGGGTGATGGAAATACATGCCTTAGACCTTTCTACCTCCATTCCAAGAAAGTATCTAAGATTTCCCAAGTCCTTAAGTTTGAATTTAGCACTAAGAAACTCTTTTATCCTTTCAATTTCGCTTGAATCATCCTCTGTTAATATTATATCGTCCACATAAACAATGAGAATGCAACATTTTCCACTTTTCGAGTGTTTGTAAAACATGGTGTTGTCAGCATGTCCTTGAATATAACTTTTACTAGTCATAGATTTGGCAAATCGGTTTAACCAAACCCTTGGAGATTGTTTTAGTATAAGAACTTTAACTTACACACTTGGCCCTTGCTCTCTTTAAACCTAGGTGGGAAGTCCATGTACACTTCCTCATTTAATTCTCCATTGAGGAAAGCGTTTTTTACGTCCAATTGGGTCAAGGGACAATCCAGGTTGACAGCAAGAGATATGAGATCTCGAATGTTGTTTGGCTTGGCAAATGGTGCAAACGTCTTGTCGTAGTCAAGGCCATAGGTTTGAGTAAAACCCTTAGCCACAAGCCGAGCCTTGTATATGTCGATACTGCCATCGAGTTTAAATTTTGTAGTGAAGATCCACTTGCATCCTATGGTTTTCTTCCCACTTGGTAAATCCGAGACTTCCCACGTTTCATTATATTTGAGAGCCTTTATTTTATTATATTTAAGAGCTTCTTCTATGTTTTTCGAAACTTCTACAGTATCAATATTAGACACAAAGGCTTTATAAGACTTAGATAAGTTTCCATAGGACATAAACCAAGAAATAAGGTGTTGAGTGTAACTCCTTGCTCCCTTTCAAACTGCAATTGGAAGATAGATGGATGGTGATGAAGGTGGGACTTCTGTTTACGAATAGTCCTCGGTTGGGGATGAAATTGGCACTGTTGTTTCAATTTCAAGAGAATAAAGTCGTCGAGAGTATACCCGAAGTTCTAGGGCTTGTTCTTACTGCTTTCCTGGATCAGGTTGATGTTGTTCTTCGGTGGTGTGATTGATTATGCTAATTTCTTGTTGTTGCACAAGAGAAACAGTCCCTAAATTTGGAATTACAATGGTTGTTGGGTTGTTAGGTTTGTTTATGATAGTAGAGGTAGGATCATGAGGTATAATGAGAAGGGTATTAAGGGTCTCATTTTCATTGGGAGTCTCCCTTGAAGATGAGATGCTGTAAAATATGGTTCATTCTCAAAAAAGTGACATCCCGAGAGACAAACATTTGGTGTAAGGTTGGTGAATAACACTTATAACCCTTTTGTGTGGGGGAATAGCCAATGAAGACACATGTGTGGGCTCGAGGATCAAGTTTGGATTGATTGGGTTGATGATTGTGGACAAAAGCTTTGCAACCGAATATTTTTATTGGTAGGTTGGGAATACGAAACAAGGAAAAGACCTTTTGAAGTGTATGTAGAGGTGTTTGAAAATTTAATACCTTTGATGGTAGACAAATTATGAGGTAGCAAGTAGTGAGGACAACCTCTCCCTACAAGTATTTTGGGACACTCATGTGAACATTAGGGCTCGAGCCACATCAAGGAGATGTCAGTTTTTTCTTTCGGATATCCTGTTTTGTTGAGGTGTGTCGGGGCAAGAACTTTGATGTATGATGCCTTGGTCAGAAAGGTAAGGGCTTAGGACAGAGTTGGAATATTCTCTTCCATTGTTAGTTCGGAGAGTATGTAGGGTAGAATTAAATTGGGTTCGAACCATTGAGTGAAAGTTTTGGAAGATTTTGGGTGTTTCAGATTTTTCTTTGAGGAGGTATACGCAACAACTCTAGTGTGGTCATCAATGAAAGTTATAAACCATCTAGCCCCCGTAACATTCTTTACACGTCTGGCTCCTCATATATCACTGTGTATTAACGATAAAGGTTGAGACTGGACATAAGGCTTTAATGGGTATGGTACACAGGTGTGTTTGGATAATTGGCAAATTTCACATTTCAAGGAGCTCACACTTTTATTGCAAAATAACAATGGAAGATGTTTCTTCAAATACAAAAAGTTTGAATGTCCTAGTCTACGGTGCCATAACATAATTGTGTCATCTTTTGAAGTAGATAGAGCCAATACTTCTTGTGTACTGTCTTTATTCCAAACGTAGAGTCCATCATCAACTTTAGTAGTACCAATCATCATCCCCGATTTATGTTCTTATACCACACAACCAATTGCAGAAAATTCAGCAAGAACATTTTAATCCTTGGTAAGTTTACTCTTCAAAATTGGATAGCTGTCGCCTTTCCCTTAGCCATGAGTGAGAAAGTTAGTGAGAGAGAGTGTGTGGAGCCGAGAGGCAATGGTTCTCCTGGCAGAGGTAGAACAGTGCCTGGTGGAGGATCGTGGGTAGCATTCATAGACAATCTTAGTAGAAGAGTGCATAGAAGTGTTTTATGGGATCGTTTTAGTCTTCATGGCATGGTGGTTAAGGTGTTCATTCCATTCGTTAATAGGAGACCAAACTATAAAGATAAAACTTTTGCCTTTGTGCACTTTGCAAGCAAGGAGGATTTGCTTAATGCAATGAGTAAGATGAACAATGTCATGGTAGATGGGAGAAGAATAGTGGTTTTGACTGCGATATATCAGAAGAGCAGTTTTCCAGGGAACCTTAAGGGCAATAGTGTAGCGGGGCCTGGAGATGCATGTGTGGAGGTTTCCAAAAGGAAAAGTCCAATATGTTAAGATGTTGATGTTGGGAAGGAGCTGTTGAACAAGTTTCGTGATGGCAGAACATATAAGGAGACGTAGTGGGAGTAAGAAATGTTGAGGGTCAGCATGTAATCAGATCTGGAGATAAGAGGGAGGTGAAGAAGCCTTTGGAAGTCTTTATTCCAATGGAGGAAAGAATATGGTTGAGATCGTCTTTAACAGGTATTTGTAAAGCAATTTTTGAAGTTGAGTTTGTTCAGAGGGCTTTAAGAAGCGAGGGAATCAATGTCAAGGTGGTAAGGTGGGGATATGCAAAAAATGCTTGTTTGATAGTCTTCCGGTCAGTGGAGGAGAAAGATGCAGCGGTGGAAATCAAGTGGGAGGCTTTGTCCTTTGGGTTTGAAAGGTTGGAGCCTGTTATGGAAGAGAAGTGTGTCCCATTAACTTATTGTGCAGTTTCCATGATAGGTGTTCCGTTAAATAGCTGGACAGTTTCTTTCTTTACAAGTTTGGCATCGAGATGGGGCAAATTAGTGATCCAGGAGCATACAACTCAAAAAGTGGATTACATGGTGGCTCATATGTTGTTAAGGGTTGAGAGCCAGTTTGATATCCCGTCCCAGGTCACCATTAACACTTATGGAAGGCCTTTTATTATTAAGATTAAAGTGGAAGGCAGTGAGGATTTCTTTCCTGTGATAGAAGATGGAGTGGATGAAGAGGGTTCTACGGAGGGAACAATTGATCCATGGGAAGAGACCTTGTCGGAAGGGAATCAAGGGGATGATCGGGAGGGTCTGCAGGAGCAGTTGAATTTCAAAATGTTGACAGGCAATCAGAACAGTGTTGAAGCATGGGTTAGGAATGCTACAAATGGAGGTGTCACGCTTACCGATGGTAATTTGAATGAAAAGGTAGAAGTCAATAATATTCTAGGAGATGACTTTTGCTCTGAGGGGACAGTACTAGGTGAGGTTCATAGTCAACAGCAAGTGTCAGGGGTTTTTTCTGCAGGAAGAGAAAGGGTGCAGAGCTTGGGAGATGTTACCTCGGGACAAGATAAAGTGGTCAAAGACGATGGGCTTAATTCCAGCATGGGGAGGAGAAAAGTGTTTGGGCCTGAGCAGAGAAGTCCAAGATCAAATCGAATTGGGGTTAAGTCTGCAGATGTTACAAATGGTATACAAGATGATTCTGGTATGCAGAATGGGTCTGTTTCATTGGCCCAGAGGCGCCCTATTGGGAGAAGTGCTTCAGTTAGTAAAGCTGAAAGAGGTTTTTATAAGAATGTGTATGCTAGGAGGTGGGAAGTTAAAAGTTGCAGTGGCAAGGGGTCGGATTATGTTTCAGAAAAGAATAACCAGGGGAGGACAGAAGCTTTGGAATGTTGGAATGTCTCTAAATTGTTGGGGGTTAAATTTAAAGGAGGGGAGACAGATTTCTTGACTAAAGTAGGTCCTATGGTAAAGGAGAGAGATGATTGATGGTTGGTAGTAGGAACAGGGATTTAAGGTTATGGTATGATTTTGATGGTAGAGTGGTCCATAATGTGTTGGAATGTTAGGGGTTTGGGTAGGAGGGTGAAAGCTCGAGCAATTAGGAGGTTTGTTCAGGAGAAAAAGCCTACAATTTTATTTTTACAAGAATCTAAACTGGAAGTTGCAAGTCCTTTGTTAGTAAGGAAAATGGGGGGTAAAATACTCACTGGTGCAGTAGTAGTTCCTGTTGTGGGTTCTGTTGGTGGTTTAATAACATTGTGGAATCAAAAGGATTTTGTGGTGAAGGAAGAAGTCATCCACAGTAGATTTGTGGCAGGGTTAATGGAAGGAGTTCAAGGAATTTGTTGTTTTATTAATGTATACGGTCCGAGTGTTGATGCAGACAAGGAGCAGTTTTTTAGGGAGTTATCATCCTTTTTGGAACAGCTTGATTGCCCAGTGTGTTTAGGAGGAGATTTCAATGCAGTATTGACTCAGGAAGAGAAAGATGGAGGAGCAGTGAATCCGGTATCTGTGAACAGTTTCAGAGATTTTGTTAGTCAGACGAATTTGATTGATTTGCCGTTTATTTGGAGGTCGTTTTACGTGGTGTAACAATAGGGAAGTTCCAACTTTTGAGAGGTTGGATCGGTTTTTGGTTGATCATTCATATTTTTCGTCTTTTCCAAAATTAAGCCAAACCTTGCTTCCAAGGTCTGTCTCTGATCACAATATCATTTTGTTGGAGAATAAGGAATGTAATTGGGGGTCGAAACCATTTCGGTTGTTTAATTATGTGTTGGAGGAAGAGGGGTTTAATGAGATGATGAAAACAGAGTTGTTTAAATTCTGCAAAGGGGCGAACCCGATGTCCATATCCAAAGTACTTAATCGGGTGAAGGATGTGGCAAAGAGGTGGTCGAGGAGGGATTATCTTCAGCTGCCAGGAAAAATCAGAACGTTGGAGAGAGGAATTCATGATATGGAAATGGACTTGCAACAAGGACTTCCCATGGTGTCTATGCAATCTATTGTCGAAGCAAAGAGAGAATTATGGGAGCTACAAAAAAAAAAAAGAATCGATTTGGATGCAAAAGTATAGAATAAAGTGGAGATTGGATGGAGATAAGAACACTAGGTTTTTCCATCATAGTGCGGCAGTAAGAGGGAGGATAAATTGTATTAAATCTCTTAAAGTTGACAATGTAGTCACGGTAGATCCCAGTGTTATCAAAGCTTCTGTGGTGAAGTTCTTCAAGGGGTTGTTTAATCAAAGGAATACTTTGAAGGTTGAGGATCTAAATCTGGATTTTCTTAGACTATCGGAAGGGCGGTGTTTAGCATTGGAGAAGCCATTTTCGGAAGAGGAAGTATGGGATGTTATCGTTCATTCGGATAGTAATAAAGCTCCGGGACCGGACGGTCTAAATTTAGGCTTCTTCAAGAAATTCTGGACCATTATGAAGGACGATGTGATGCTGTTTTTTAAAGATTTCTATGTGGGGAAGGAGTGGGACTCGGAGGTTAATCATTCCTTTATTTCTCTCATTCCTAAGAAGGCCAATCCGGAGGGGTTGAAAGATTTTAGGCCAATTAGCCTAGTCAGAGGGCTATATAAAATTTTATCAAAGGTTTTAGCTAGAAGATTGAGTTTGTGCATTAACGATATAATGAGTCCGTCTCAATTTGCTTTCATTCCGGGAAGGAACATATTGGATTGCTCGTTTATTGCAAATGAATGCATTGACTTTTGGAGGAAAAAAGGGTTGAAGGGAGTAGTCTTCAAAGTGGATTTCAAGAGAGCCTATGATTCGGTTGATTGGGACATTTTGATTAAAATTATGAGCAAAATGGGGTTTGGTGACAAGTGGAGGTCATGGATGTATCAATGTATGCCTTTAGCATCCATTTCGGTTCTAGTAAACGGGTCACCTACAGAAATTTCACACAGCGAGGGGATTGAGACAGGGTTCTAGTAAGCGGATGACCTTATAATTTTCAGTAAAGGCTCTATTCGTGATTTGAGGAATGTTAGAAGAGTGTTATTAATATATGAGTTACTGGTGGGGTTTGAAGATTAATCAAGTTAAGAGCAGAATTTATGGTATCAATGTTGAGGTTGGGGCGTTAGCTACTTGGGCGAATGATATTGGTTGTTCTGTAGGAAGTTTCCCATAAGAGTATCTAGGTTTACCCTTGGGCTATAAGAGAAATTCTGCTGCCATGTGGGAGCCAATAGTGGAGAGATTTCATGCTAAGTTGAGCGGTTGGATGTCTAATTCCCTGTCGCTTGCAGGAAGGATTGTGCTGGTTAAGTCAGTGTTGTGCTCACTCCCTGCGTATTTTCTTTCCATTTTCAAAATTCCAGCTTCTGTGCTAAAGAAACTAAATTCTATCATGGCTTCATTTTTGTGGGGGGTGCAGCGGATAAAAAAAATATCCACTGGTTAAATTGGAGTTCGGTTAGTAATCCAAAAAGATTGGGGGGTCTAGGGGTCCCGAATTTATTACTCTTGAACAGAGCATTATTGGGGAAGTGGGTTTGGAAGTTTTTATCAGAGAAAGAGTCTTGGTGGAAGAGGGTGGTATGTGGTGTTTATGACATGGATCCGAAATGCATAATGATGGGGAATTCGTGGCCAGCCCGTGTATCATGGATTTGGAGAGGTGTGGTTAAAAATTTCTTTTCCGATGATGGTTTGGGGGATTGTATTAGGAAGAATATGCGTTTGAAGACAGGGAAGGGGAATTATGTGCAATTCTGGAATGATGTATGGTTGGGTGAAGTACCTTTGAAAATACAGTTTCCTAGACTCTGTGTTCTTTCGAGCAACAAATCGGGTAAGGTGATGGAGTTTAGGGTGAATAATGGCACTGGTTGGGTGTGGGACATTCAAATGAGGTGAAATTTGGCGGATTGGGAGGTTGAACAGCTGTTGCAATTGATTTCTATGTTGAACAATATCTCAATATCGCCATGTGAGGAAGACTGTTGGATTTGGTCAGGGAATGGTGAGGGTTATTTTTCAGCTAAATCTTGTATCAACATTTTCCTTGATCAAGATGCTATTCAGTAGAAGATGGAGACCTGGGAGAGGCGTATTTGGGCAGGGATTGCTCCTCCACGGGTGGAGACATTTGTCTGGCAAGTTGCTCACCAGAGAGTGGCGGTGAAGGAGGAATTACTGAAGCGAGGTGTGGTAGGGATTGATGATCCTTTATGCTCTTTGTGTGGTAGGGAAATGAAATCAGTTACGCATCTATTTTTGCATTGCGAGGTAGTATGGGGTCTGTGGGCCAGATTATTGAATATTTGGAATTTGTCCTTTGTGATTCCAAAGAATATCATGGACCTTTTCAATTTGTGGGATGATTTACTTCCGAATTCTTTGATCTAGAAATTTATTACAGGGCGTTGATGTGGTCAGTGTGGAAATGCAGAAACGAGGTTATTTTTCAGAAAGTTAAGCTGGATGTGGTGAGACTATTCTTTATTGTCCGTTTTAGAATAGCTTCCTGGTTTGTTGCAAAGTTCACGGATGTGCATATACTTTTAGACTCTCTTGTGGGAGATTTAAAACTTGTTGATTTGGTGGGTAGACAAGGAAATGACAATTCTAAACCAATTTGCTGGGTCCCTCCTCCGGATGGGTTCTTAAAGCTAAATGTTGATGGAGCGATGGTAAAGGGTTGGGATAAGGGAGGTATTGGTGGTTTGATTCGGGATAGTAAAGAAATGTTGCTTCAATGGTTTTCAGAAAGAGTTGGGGGTGGTCCTCCTATCTTGGCAGAATTATTGGCGATTAAGAGGGGGTTATGTCTTCTGGAAGATTTAAGTTATGTTCCTAATAGGAGGTTTATTTTTGAATCAGATTCAAGCAATGCCCTAAAGTGGATCAAGAATCCGGGTTTATGCACTCCTATGTTTCAAGTATTGGTGAAGGAGATAGTCTCTCTTATGGCAGGGAAGGATATCATTATCAAGCATATTTTGAGGGTTGCAAATTGGGAAGCTGACAAATTAGCTAAAGATGGGATAGGGTGATGTAATGGTTTTTGTCTGCTTGTATTGAGGAGTAAAAAATTTTATTTCCTATGTTTAGCTGTTGTGTTTAAGTTTTATGTAATTTCTGGTGGTGTTAGCAGATGTTTAGGGTATGCCTTTGTTGTACTATTGTTTCATCTAATAAATTCTAGGCACTCTTTTCCTCCTTTCCTTGTCCTTCATGTTACTTTTATAACATGGAGGTTGAAAAAGGGGGTTTTTAATGAGGTCTAATCTTCTATCAAAAAAAAAATGGATAGCTGTCATGACTTGCGATGTTTTTCTTTAATTGAACAGATTACAACCTTCAACATTTCTATTGTTGTTCATGGGACAGTTGCCGGGAGTAACACTTTTGCCTGTAAGTTTTGAGACCTCCCTTTGATTTATTCATTGTCATGACCCCTTGCATCTATGGATTTAGAGGAATTGCCGGTTCTGCTTTGTACAGGGTGAATCTGATCCTTACGCAGTCCCGAAGAGCATGGGGATTTTTTCGTTTCCTTGAAAGCCCTAAAAGTTTAACCACAAGTTCTGTAGCCCAAAGGATAGTTAGCAACCATGAGGCTTACATGGTACTACTTGCACTTGCACTGACTGCATAAACGTTTTTGAAGTTCACATTTTTTGTTAAATTAGTCCTCATAAATAACCAGAAATGCAAGTTGGTTTTATTGCGTTTTATTTCTGATACATGTCCAGAAGTGGGAATTGATTGGCAGTTGTTCATATTCTTTCAGAACAACATTACTTGCTAGCCACTTGTGTTTTGGGTTCCAGATTACATCTGGCTATGGATATTGTTGATACTTTTTGTATGAGGCATGCATCGAAAGGAGTGTTCTTGTAACATTAATAACAGTCCGTTTCCATTAGAAGAGATCAGTAGTTTTCTTATTGCTTTGTATTCGATTTTGGTAAAAAAGTTTCTTACTAGTAACCTAAAAGGCTTATATCACAGGTAAGTACCTAAAATATACCGACTTTTTCATCCAAGTACCTAAAGTATTTTTTGGTCAAAATAAGTACATAAAGTTACCATCTTTTTCATCTAGGTGCCTTGAGTATAATATATTTTTCATCTAGGTTCCCAAAAGTTGACACAGTGGAGGATCCACCCGTGTCCAACCCGAAATTCGAATTTGCTTTAGTTATTTATTTTATTGATTATGCTCATTCTGAAATTTTATTTGTGGTTATCTCATACAAAAAATTTATGTTAATAATGCACGTGTGCCCACCCTCAGAAAAATGTATGGATCTGCCACTATGTTGACACGTGGTATACTTTAGGTATATTTCAACCAAAAGATACTTCAAATACATAGATGAAAAAGATGGTATACTTTAGATACTTATTTGTGATATAATCCTAACCAAAACAATGACTGTTTGTTCATTTACAGGTTTCTTGTTTAAACTCCTGCATGTTATCTAATTTGTTTGTGCAATTTCAGGTGCTAAACATTTGTGATGCATGTGTATCTATCCTCTAATTTTTCTGCTCGATTTCAATGTAGAAACGCAATGTCAAAAAAGCTCAGAGTGAAAAGAAATACTATGAAGAGAAGACTTATGTTGCAGGAGAGTTGGTTGGGTTTTTAATGTTACCAAGTTTGGTTCAACTCATTCATGTAGATGATGCCTGTTGGAACAACATGACATGAGACTTCCAAGCCTTGGGCTATTTATATATATATTTTTTAATTTTTCTTCAGTTTTATGAGATTTAGAAAGAAAAAAAAAACTTATGATAATGTCTGCTCCAAAACTTGTAAAGAATGTAATATCAGATACTTCTCCCTCCCTTGGGCTTTATTTCAAAAACAAAGGTACTATATTTTTGGGTGATAATTTTGGCTTTTCCAGAGGTTATTTAATAAGGCTAACAAAAAAAGAAAGAAAAAGAATTATGTAATTGAGAATGGCTTAAAGAGGAGTGGTTGCTTGGTTTTATATTTTGATGCAGGCAAATATGGAAATCTAAAGGAATTCGGTAACATTTACTCCATTCATCAATGAAACAAACCCTAATCAATTTGGGGTATTTGAGCCTCAATTACAAAACGACATATTAATAAAACTAAAATGACAAAAACGACCTATTAATTAAAAACATTAAATTTAAACACAAACACAGGTAAAATGTTAAACTTTTTTTTAATAATCTGAAATGATTATAAGGTAGCCTATGGTAAAATCCTTTTTTATCTTATTAATAATACACATATACCCTACAGACATAGATGCCTGAAATCAAACAGACTCATCATCCATTTACAAGTGTGGCTTGTGATACGTCATAGGATCCCAAAATTTGGACCTCTACTTTGAAAAAAAATGTCATGGTTTTGCTTTTAAGAGTGTTTAGAGGATGATGTTTTTTAAATAAAAAAAACATGATTATAGGGTTGTTTTGTGAATTGTTTTAGTTTTATATGTTTTGATTTTTTTTTATTTTGTAAGAAACAATAGTAATATGACAAATTTTGATATTTTACATTTTTATTTTATTATAAAATATTTTCGAGGCCTCATTTAAAAAGTAGTACAAGGTCTGCACATCTTTTAGAACAAACTTAAACTCAAAAGACCTATAAAAAATAATACTTTCTTTTATCGGAGTGACTCAATAAATTCTAAAATATGTTAATTCAAATTCGACATTGTTTTATTTATTTAAATTGATGCATATCAATAATCCTTTACTCGGTATAGATTAAAAGAGGCCATTTTTTTTTTCTTGAGGCACGTCCACTTCCCATTTCACATCTCCTAACAGAAGACTCGAGATTCAACCTCATTTGTTATCACCTTCCATCGTCTCGTCACAATCTACAAACCTCTTTAGATTCCCATCCATATGGTACAATTTGAATTTAGTGCAACGATGTCCATAATATCCTTAGCAAAAATATATCTTTTTTCTCTTCTATCCTCAGTCCATAATTGTGACAACAAGCTATTAGAACCTATAATCCTTGGTTGGTTCATTATTTTCGAAGAAAGGCTGATTACGAATACTAGAATCCTATCCTTTAGAACAAACCACATACTCATTGTTTTGGTTAAAAATTGCCAACCACGCCAAAATTAGTGTTTAATATTAGTGCATTGAATCGGATTAAAATTAATATGCTGAACCAATTTAAAATTGGATAAATAACGCGTTTAATATCTAAACTATTACTTTTGATCAATTTTAGTACCTAAATTTTCAATTGTTTCAAACCCACTCCTAAAGTTTAATTCATATTTCATGTTAGTACTCATGTTCAAAATTAAACGTTAAGTTCTTAATTTTTTGTTGTTGAAAGTTTAGGTATTAAAACGGACCAAAACTGATAGTTTAGATATAAACGCGTTTAATATCTAAACTAATAGTTATGTATGATTTTGAAAATATAAAATATTTAGGTACTAAAACAGATCAAAACTAATAGTTAAATACTAAATACGTAGTTTACCCTTTAAAATTTACAACTTGAGACTCTTTAAATCGGGTTTTCATGTCTGTTTTGAACCTGTTTGAAGTGTATTCCCTAAATCATATTACTATTCATTCCGTGAATCGGTTGACCAATCATCCCTTGAATCGCATGACAACTCATAGATTAAAGCTGGTCCGAGTCCCAAATCCCAAACAGGCTGAATCATAGTATGAAACCCTAAATCTATAAAGAGTGAGGGTACGAGGGGACCCCGAGTCACGTGCCGGCCACAAAATGTGTGTACCTATATTTTTAGACTTAGTTAGAAATTTGAAAGCATTGGTGGAGTGTTATAGATTATAATTGAAAGTTTTAGAATAATAAAAAGATTTAGAACCTTATGGATAATTTTAGAATGCTTTAAAAGATTCTAGAATATCGTAGAAGGTTCTAGAACTAAAGAAGATTTTGAAATAGACTCGTAGAAGATTAAGAAGTTTATCGAGAATTTCTCAGGTCTAGGCTATTTTAGATTTGAGTAAAAAGTTGCAGTGCTTGTAGGATTATTTTAGATGTAACAGATTTTTGCTTCATTTAGCTTGTGAACTCGTAGCTGTCATCAAAGTCCTTCTCGGGTCGGGTCAAATCACTCCACCTAGACCCAAGCCAACTATTTTAAAAACACATGCAAAAAAATCGTAGACTCATTAAGATCTTTGACTTAAATAACGTCATATCTTTCGCCAGCCACCTTTGGGGGAGCAACTGAGCAATTGCTCAGGGGCCCTTTTAAATGGTACACTGAGGCTCAAGGGCGTTTGGATGGGGAATGTGATATTCTCATAAGAATGAATTCATATTTTTTCGTTTGGTTAGTATCATTGTGTTTGAAAATCGGATCGGATCGGTCAGTTCAATCGGAAACTGTTATCTAGTCTGGTTCAATCTAAAATCGGTTGAACCGTTATTAGTGAACGGCCAGAACCGTTGAACCGTTGAACCAGTCAACAGTTGAACTGTTCGAACCGAACCGCTGAAAACCGAAAAAAAATCAGAAAAACCGGAAATTTTGTTTTTTTTTTTAAAAAAAAATTAAACCAAACGTCGTTTGTTAAACGAGCCAAGTCAAACTCGAGTATTGTTGAGCTCGACTCGAACTTGAAAACTTTAAAAGTAAGCTCAACTCCACTCAAACTCACAAGTTAAAAATTATCAAGTTCAACTCGAACTCGAAATATAATATTAAAACTTGAACTCAAAAAGGCTTGAACTAAAAAAAATTTAAAAGCTCAATTGAAGCCTAAAATTCGAGCTTAATTGAAGTGAAAGAATAGTTCACTCACTCACCACCAAAAGGCTCCATGATTTTGAATGCCAAATTACCTCTATTATTTATAGAAGTTAGTTGTGATGCGCTTCTATGTTTTTTAGTAATGTGGGATTGTTTTGTTCTCATATTTTTACTCTTTAGACTTTTGGGATGCTCTTCTATGTTTCTTAGCCATGTGGGATTGTTTTTTTTTTAAATTAAACCAAACAATATCATTTTGTTATGATTTTTTTGCCCTAAATTTATTTTTAATTATAGTTATATAATTATATTTATTATTTAATATGTTTTACCTTAATATTATGTAGTTAATTTAAATCATTTTGTTTCACTTGATTTTATGGTTTTTAATTTATATATGTTATGACTTGCTTTGTATATGACTTGTGATATAAAAAATTATTTTTTATTAAATATTTTTGGTATTTTTATTTAATTATTTAAATAATTATGATGTAGTCCGGTTCTTTCGACCGGTTCGACCGGTTGAACCAGTGAACCGGTAGCATGGCCGATTCGCTAACCGATCCGGTTCTGAAAACCATGGTTAGTATGAGAATTTCATTCCCCATAATGTAAGATTACTAATAGTGAATTTTTTGGGGTATATTACCGGGAATGTCATTACTTCCATTTCTTTAGGTATTATTGGATTACCGGCGTTTCGGATTAAAATGCCCTTAATTTTTTTTCAAAAATGTCATTCTTCTTTCATTGAATAATAAAAATTCTACGAAGATTAAATTATAAATTTATCCTTAAATTATTTTAGATTTTCAAAAAAAAATCTATAATTAAAATTTTATATGAAATTCAGGGGTTAAAATAAAATTCTACCATTTTATTAAACCTTTTTATATTTTTAATTTTTTTAAAAATTATGTAAATTTTATTAATTTAAATTTTTTAAAGAAAATATATAAATATTTTCTAACTTGTTAAAAAATAATATAAAAGGACAATTTGATCAAATATACATTTCAATAATCTTTTATTTCTTTAACGAAACACTGTAATCTTACATTCCTTCTAAACCAACCAAACACAAAATACAACATTCACAGTAATCCTATTATCTGGTAATCTTACATTCATATTGATAATATTATATTTCGTGAACCAAACGAACTCTTAAAGTTAGGTTTTTAGTTTCCTTTTAGGGAAAAAACAGTTTTTAGTTTACCAAATATGAAAGTAATATGTAATGGGGCCTACTTTTAACTTTTCACTCAAAAGTAAACGATAATATATATATATATATATATATATATATATATTTACAACATTTAATTAGTTACGGGCCCCACTTTTAACTTTTCATTTTAAAAGTAAACGATAATATATAAAATATTAATTCATAATATCTAACTAAGGGTAAATTATAGTAATGGTCAATGAACTTTTCTAAAGCTTTCATTTAGGTCCCTTAACTTTTAAACTTGCAATACAATCCCTCAACATTTAGTCTGTTTGCAATATGATCCCCAACATTTAGTCCGTTTGCAATATGATCCCCGACGTAACTGTTGGGGGACTATATTACAAATGGACTAAATATTGGGGACTAAATATTGGGGACTATATTACAAGTTTTAAAAGTTGGAGGACCTAAATGAAAGCTTTAGAAAAGTTCAGTGACCATTACTATACTTACCCTTAACTTTATAGTCCTCCATCCAATTTTCCCTTTCTCTATATATGTGTCTCAAATCTTAAGTTATTTATTTGCAGCATGCATTACTCGACAATGATAAAAACTTTGTGCAATTCAAGCAACAAGCTGAGAGTTTTATGTGTAAAATCTTACCCGATTCTCCTTATTCAACCA